ACCATTTCAATTTCTACAATGGCTAAAGCAGGGAGGAAATTCCTTTTCCAAGCTCTTAACTCATCATTCTGTTACCAGACCTTGGGAAAAGGTACTTTTAAGATTAATACCGATTGTTTAACTGAAGATAAGTTATCAATAGAAACAGCATGACACAGATCTTTCCCTCAGGTCAAAAGCCTAATCTAAATGTATCATGGACAAATATTTGAATAACAAGTTAGCACAACTCTGTCCCAGCTGATTACCATCATAGGGAACACTGTGGAGGAGAGCTGGGAATGTATGCTGTCAACATCCAGTCTTCAACTGCAAAAATACTTTTTGTCAAGTTCAGACACGTCTGCACAAGATCAGGATAAATATCCTGGTAGTAGACATAACTATTGACCATGTTCATTTAGCATTTACTACTAAGTCTGTTTGAACTCAGGGACACACTTTGCTTCAGCAGAGCACATTGAGAACTGTGAGGGTCCCACACTCTCCACCAGTGGGAGACAAATGAGTCACCAGGAAACACAAGAGCCCACCTCAATTCTATTCCAAATGTGCTTATACAGGATTATGAAAAATGTGCTTTTTTCCCAGCAATTTCCAGAATATTTTGAGTCTATGACCAACTCCTGTGGAAACAGAAACCAAGCCCAAAGGGCAAACCTGACCGTTTTTCCAGATGCAGGCTAGGAACAAACAGATTTCTCAGTCTCATTTTGAAACAGTGCTGTGGGATAAGAGTACTGTGAAGGTGATAGCGACACAAATCAATCATAATCTCAGTTCTTACTGAGGAACGTCTTTGAGCCTTTTTGTGTGATTTTGTTGCATGTGCCCACTTCTTCCACCATCTAAACACTGCTTTCACCTCTTTCTCAGGTTATCTGCCAGACTACGGCTTTATTTTCCTACAAATACTTCTTAAAACCTGCTTATTTTGTGACACTCGCAAAAAGAGTTACCAATGAATCATTCCTTTTTAAATGCAGCTAGGCATGAATAGTCCATTTCTTTTATGCTATGAACTTTTCCTGAGTGGTCAAATCATCTTCTGTCTACCAAACTGTCTACTATCATTCCATTACTGTCTGAAACTAGAGTTCAGATATAATTGGATACATATCATATACCAGTACTTAGAAGAAGACAGCAAAATATTCAGGATTGTAGAATAAGTAATAACTACAGTTAGCAAAGTGTTTTTTAGTATGCTGTCAATATTGTTATTTGGATATTTATTTATTATTTATTTGGATAAAGTTAAGGAATACATTTTAATAACATAAACCTTCTGAAATGCTTCAGTACCATTGATCACAGGGTTGCTTTACCGGTTTCTCACCGTCCTAATCAAGAGACAGCAGCAAAGGGTGGACTGTCCAGTTACTCCTATCAAGAGACATCCAGACAGCTTTGCTCTATCACTTCTCTCTCTGCTAAAGCATTCAAGATACTCATGTCTCTATACACTCACACTGAACAGTTCAACTTATTGAATATCTAAAATGTCACAATATCTGGAACAAGAGTGCCTAATAAAAAGTAACTTTCCTTACTTTTGAAGAAATGATCCAACACTACAGAAAGTAAGGGGAAGTGTAACGACTGTTCTCCGTGCCTTGAAACACCAGTGCCTTGTGGAGTCTTCATTGTTAGTGATAGAAGCCAGAAAGTCTTAGTTTCACCTGTACTTAACCCAGAAAAGGTATCTTTTCTATTAGGATATGGATTTAGCCAAACTGATCTATGCTTTTGTAATCCCATGCTTGGATCAATCCAATTTGCTCTTCCTTGGTCTGACCCAGATGCCACTCCATAACCTACAGATGGTTCATCGTACTGTATCCCATCTGTTAAATAGAACACAGTAATGAGAATACATCACACCAATATTCCTCACTTCCCTTTGGTTTTCATTCTAATCCTGAACACATCTGAAGGTCCTGGTCCTTTCAGTGGTCCATGACTAAATTATCTAAGAGAAGACCTTTTGTTTCTACTTCTTGCAGAAGATGGATACAACAGAGACGTTATGCCCAGAAGGCGTCAGATTGAAACTTAGATGTATGGAACAGAGATCTCCTGGCTTCAGCACTCACGTCTACCACATACTGTGTTTTGCTATGTTTAGGTTGTGATAAAAGATTCACCTGTGAGTAGTTTAGCTACTAATGAAAATCACTACAGCACTACATTCCTAAATGAATAACTAAACCATGTTGTTCATAAGTAAATAATTATCATAAGTAAATAATTCTGTGATGACAGAGGAACTGTTCTGTTTTCAAGAACTTATGTGAGTATATTATGCTTCAACACTACAGCATATATAGTAGAGGTAGTAAAAAAATAATCTTATAAATCTGAACTAATAACACAGCAGTATTAATATTCATGCATAAAGAAAATGATTTCGTATGATGTTCAAATTTGGTCTTCCTTAAGGCATACAATTACATTAAATCAGTGCAAGTTTGACACTTAAATAGAAGTTGTGAATAGGCAGTCAGTATCTGGAAGAAAAGCATTGTCCTCTGAAAACTCAGTGCAGTGCAAGAGAATTTTTAGTTATTTTACTGAACAGAAAAAAATTAAAATCCAACTTGGCCCTTAAGGTGATGTTTTTCTGAAAATATACTTTTTATGCAGCAAGGTGGTCCTATTTCTCAGGAAAAGATGGACGATAACAAAACCATTAGCCAGAATACTGGGTAAAATCTTGTCTTTCTTGAAATCAGTAGATTTTTTTTGCATTGAGAGAAATTGTAAGCATTGTTGAATCTAATTGGTGATTGCAACTCTTTGTTTTGCTTTTCATTTATTTCATTCTCTACTTTTGTGAAACACAACTTGCAGAATAAGAAAAGGCTAACAAATGCTCTAGAACCAATCAATGTTATGAAACTAATAACAATACAATATGAGCATGTAAGCTTATGTAGTGCCTTTCATGTAGAAGTATCCCAAGGCACTTTGTAACAGAAACTCAATAAGGAGTGCAAAAGTGCTTTGTCAGATAGGATAAGCCAGGGGAAAAGGGGAAATTAATTAAGCATGGATTTAAATTTCTCAGCCAACATAGCATTTAGAACCTCGGTCAGAAAAGACAGTGGTTCCAGTATCTGTATCCAGGGAACGCAGCAGACTATTTCAGTCTTTAATTCTTGAGGAATGTTTAATAGTTTTTTCACAATAATATGGGTGTAAGTAATAAAAACGCAGTTTGTAGGCTACATTTTCAAAAGGGATCTCTTGCCTCTCTTCCTCTAGTTTCTTAAAAACAAATAGATTCATAAAAGTTGATCATCTGACTTGTAAACCAGTAAAGCCACTTGACTATGGAGATACCCAATATGGAATTCAGTCCTGTAGAAATTACAAATACCAAGTTAAGGACTGGAGAATGGCTCTTCTGGCTGTTTAGCTCACTGTTTTAAACCAAAGCATGTTTCTTTATGGAAGTAGTCCACACCTCTGATGGAGAGAGTAATCTGTAACACAGTAGTTCCTAAAATAGCACATATTTCGCAGGGAAAAGCAAAATTGCTTAGGAAAAGCTATAGTAATTGACAATGCATAAATTACAGCTTCCCTGATGTTGCAGAAACTTGCACATCCTCTGTTTTTCAAACATTTTTCTCTTAGGAACACATGGACCATCCTCATTTTTGGATGACTGCCTCTTCGGATTAATGCATCCTTCTGGTACATAAATTAGGGATGCACGGAGGAAAAAGGAGAAGCACTAAATGTCAGGAAACTGAAGCCATACAGAAAAATGAGGTTCACAGTAGAGCTGAATGAGTGATCCACCATGAATAATTTATACAAAAAGTTAGCCTTCACTTCTGTTCGTGGAACATCTATAAGAAGCTTATAATTTCCTCAGTTTTATTATAAAACAAAATCTTAAAATATTGTATATCTTCACTGCAAATAACTTCCTGTAAATATTTCATGTCCTATCTTAAGAGACAGTGGCATTCTGATTGATCAAATAAATCACATGATGATATTTCTATTCCTGAGATGGATGAACCCAGAAGAACATACTTCAGATTCC